TAAATACTCATACAGTGATTATTTCTAGCTTGTAGAGATACTATGTATAATAAATATGAAACTTGTTTCATGATAAGACTTATAAAGGAGATTTGAGTGGCGTTTTGTTTTGTGGGCGTGGGGAGTTTCTGTTGAAAAATAAGATTTGGAACCAGATGACATGTGTTCATCATCCCTGTATGATTTAGGGACACATTTTGTATTTTCCCTGCACATCTCTGCCTTTCTCTGCCATGTTTTTGCTACTTTAAATTCTGTTTTGTGGAACATAAACAAGTGTTTATGAATATGTATTACTAAGAAGCAGATTTTCGACATAGGGAATAGAATTAAAATTTGGTAACAGATTTACTTTCTTCCATTTTGATAGATTCTTTTTCTTTGGCACTTGTAAATTAAAAACCTCAGAACTATTGAATGCCTTGGGATTCTGCTACTAAGAGATGGCCTGACTTTCAAAATCCGTCTTCCGTGAATTTTAGTAATGTAGCCAGTTCACTTGTGTTGAAAGCTTACTATGCATATGGTTTCTCTGCCTTGTCTTCTCTGGTAGTTCCAAAATAGATTCCCTGAGATCCTAACCTTAGGTAGCTTCTCTCTTGAAAACCCCAGCGTTGACCGCAGCGGTGAACGAAGCAGCACTGCTCTGCGTGGCACAGAAGGCACTTCGGGCTGGGCTGACCTGACTTTTCGGTTTCAGCACCACCGTCCTGCCCACTCCTCACCTAGCCAGAGTGGATTGCAGGTGCCATTGTTTTTGCTTGGAAAATTCTCTTTTCTTTGCAGGGCAAACCCCAGCTAATGCTTTCCACCCCATCACACACCGTCTTCATCCTGAAGCTGTCGTGGACCCTTCAGGGGGCGGCAAGTCTTCTTGCCTCCTAGGCTGGCAGTCCCACCTCCCCCGCCAGCCCACCGCCAGCCACGAGCCTCCTGAGCCGGGACTAGGTCTAATTCCGCATCACGTCCCGGGCTCTGGGCACCCAGCCAGACCCAAGTGACTGCTCGAAAAATGGCTTCTTCCGTCTGTTTTCCACAAAGAACAATCTACACATGTGCAGTAGATTAAGGAATAATAGCACAGTGACAAAAATGCAGTAACAGAATCAGAACTCACAGCGGGTGACGGTTTCTGCCTGGCGCATGGTGGTGGGCAGCAGGGCTCTGGTATGATGTGTGGGTGCTTCGTGGGACTGGTGACAGGGTGACTTGGAACTGCTGGTGCCCTGGCAGATTAGCTGAAGAACTGTCGGTGAACTCAGAGAAACCAGATGCTGTTAGAGAAGCAGATATCTCATTTTGGAATGGTTTTTGCAGGAGTCGTTTTATCATACTTAATCATGAAAGTGTTTCTTTCAACATAGTTATACTTTACCTTTGAAACCTGATAAGTCAGAAAAAAAATGTTTAAAGCAGATTTGAAGTAGATTACTCATGTTCTAAGAGAGTCTTGTTTAATATCACTCTCTCTAAAATAAGATATAGTTTAATTTATGGAAATTATATTTTCACATAATTTTAGTTATTTTTTGTATAAAATAATACTTCTGTGTTAGAAAATTCTTAATTTTAGTCTTAAATTACAATAGTAATTAGGAAAGTAGTTTATGCTTCTTACAAGTAATTGGAACGTATGAAAATAGAAGGGAGTGTGGAAGCCTCATTCCCCTCTGTGTTCCACTGGTTTGGTATATATTCTTGCAAACTCTTTTCTGTTTGTTTATAAACACATACAACGTGTGTAAAGCTATAGGTTTATATACACACGTATAAACATAGCAGTATTTTTAAGCATATGTGGCCTCTATTAATCAATTTTTATCTATTGGTAAATCTGGCAGTATCCTCTATTATTACCAAGCGTAGTAATTTCTTGTAATTTTTGGTCCAGCTCATCTGCACCGCCTCCTGCGCCCTGCCCTCACCTTCCCCAAGGAACAGGTTTTTAAAGTTCTTGTTAATTTTTTATTAAAAGATTTTTATGTGTCTCCGCCACCTTCTGAGATGAATGGTAGCTAGTTGTACCTGCTTTTCTCCACTTGTATTTTCACTTAAAAACAAATCCTGAAAGTTATTCCACAGCCGTTATTCAGATCATCCTGGGCACTGTCACCGCAGAGACCCTCCCTGTCGCTCTGAAGCTGTGCTACAGGCAGCTCTGGGCACACTCGCTGCCATGCACGCATCTTCCCGAGCGCAGGCAGAGCTGCCTTTTCACCTCCAGTCTGTCACTAGTTGCTGTCCTGTAAACTTGGGGTATTCGTAATTCCCGTCTGTAGACTTGTAAGAATTAACTCAGATACTGTGTGTGAGTAGCTTAGCACAGAACCTGCCATGTCAGAAGCAACTCGTACTCAATAAATGGTGGTTACTTGGCTGATTTGAACAGGTAGAGTTTATAGCATAGTCAGCCGCCCTCACTGGTCTTCCAGAAACCTGGCTCAAGGGGAGTGGTTGTCTGTCCCTTGGCTGTCCAAGGACCAGGTCCCCGGTCCTGCCTCCCTCACCTTCCACTCCTCTGGACCTTCCATGTGACAGGCTTTGAAGAGGGCTCAGCCTTGTGCTGTGATCTAGTCCTTTTTGGTTAAATGGCCCCATGAGAATCTGAGAATTTGGTCTCCAGGCAGACTTGCCTACAGTTGTGGGCATGTGGATGCCCAGACAGGACCCCGCTGTGATGAGCCTCCCTTAGATTTGAAGTGGGCGGAAGGTCTGGATTAGTCAGAGCTTTCTCCCCACCAGGCACAGGGTTTAGGATGCTTGTTTATGAGTGTTCAGAGCTCAGCAAGAATTTGGTTCGTCCAAGAAACCAAGGACTATTTTGAAAATAAAAATTAAAACCATTATGTGTACACTGTCCCCCTCAGTAGTAGAAGGGACCTTCTTCTGCACATAAGCTGCAGAGAAACAGTGCTGCTCTGAGGTACACAGGATGAGGAAATGACTCCCCACCACTTAGCAGAAAGGAACCAACCACTTGCCCCTGCTCACTGGGAAAGGGTGCAGCCAGTCTGGCCCAGGTGTATCTGGCAGGACCTGAGGCGCCCTGTCCCTGGGTTATGCGGGTCGGGGATGTCCCTCTGCAGAGGAGCTGCCATTGCCCTGAGAGGCTGCATGCTCTCTGTGTCTGCTTTGACTGCCGTGTCAGAGCGAGTAGCCACACGTAAAGTCAGTTTTCACCAGTGGTGGTCCCATTGTTTCCTGGGATGAACATATCCTGTCACTGCATAGTATTTGGGGGAGAAGAAAGGATCTGAAAACAGATTTTAAAAAGGCTTACGTGACAGACTAAGCTCATTTTGCTGTAATTTTATCAAAAGACGCTTAACATTTGGGTTATTTCTTTTGGAAGCAGAGTGGCAGTTGAAGTTCTCCAGCAATGATGTCACCCTTGCCCTTTCACGACACCCTAGCGTCATGCGTTCTCCCTGAGTGTAAACCAGGGTGTGCCAAGGGTCATCTTGATGCAGAGATGGTCTCAAGTAAATTGCTTCCTGGGACCATGGCCTCACGCCTGCTTTACAGCCTCCTACCTGACTTTTGGAGCACTGAACTACTCTAATATTTAATTTCTAGAAACAGCAGAGCACAACCTGCAGATGAATGGCACTTGCTAATTTTGTGGCCTAGTCGGGCTGGTCCAGCAAGCCCTCCAATTCTCCCCACCCCAAGCTCCACATGTCTCCTGGCTTTGGGGGAAGTGCGATCCTTTGGTCATCTGGATCCACTTGGGTCAGAGCCGGCCCCTCTGTGGTGGCAGAGCCTCGGATTGGAGCCATCGTCACCACTGTTCTCACCGGAACCTTGGCCTCCTGAGTGGTGTCGTCCCCGAGTCTTGAGCCTTTTCCTAAATTCTGGAAGGTTGTCATCTACTCGGTTCTGTCCCAGAACGGACTCAAGCTAACTTGATTTAGAAAAGCTTATTTCCATCAGTCTCGCCCACCCTTACGGTTCAGGCAAATTAAAGTCTTCCCTTGGTGCCCTGTGAAGGGTCAGGTCTGCTCGGGCACATGGACACGGGGCAGGTGGACCCGGCCTGACCTCCCGCAGAGCTGCATGGCCGCAACATATGTGGTGAGAGTGGCCTATCTCTAACAGAGGAACTGGCTGCTCCTGGGCCCCATCCCGTGATTTGTTCTTAGGGGCCAAGCAGAAGAGGTGGAGTTGGTTCTCAGAGAGCTGTCTCCTTGGGGCCACCCCACCCCGGGGTAACATTCCCTGACCAGTTCTTCTCAGCCAGAGTATGGGATGGGGGCTTGTCTTTTATTGGCTACAGTATGTGTGTTACTTAGGAAAGTAAGTGTGGCAGTTCTGGAGAACATTTCTCTGACCCCATCTCGGTCACTGTGGTCCATCACCCAGCAAAGCCAGAGGTGTGGCTTTCAGAACGTTGGCATGGCCAGTGTGTTCTTCTTTGAGGGGTGGGGAGGGGAGTACGTGGCACCTCAGAGGAGAGCTCCCTGCCCCAAACAGCTTCTGCCTTTTCCTGCAGGAATGGCTGTAACACCAAAGAAAACCCTTTCTCAGTATTTTTCTAAATAGGGTTTTTCCTGCCTAAACACTTACTTTTTCCAATATGCAAGCCCCAGGCATGGAGAACTATAATTATAATCCTCATTTGGGAGATGGTGTGGGGAGGAGCCCAGGATGGGAAATTGTGTGCTGGCTCCTTGGAGCCAGTAGGGGCAGGAGGGGAGAGGCAGACCTCAGGGCTCTGAGCCCAGATCCCTGGTGTGGGGTGACAGTACTGGCAGCGGGGCAGGGAAGGAGGGGCTTGGGGTCGGGTGCTCTTCTGGACAGCGGGGAGATGGGCAAGTGCCTCGGAGTATTCTCGGGTGTGGAGAGCCAGGGCCACATGTTTCTGTATCCAGCTTCCCATCAGGGTGTTTAAAGAACATTATACAAACAACAGATAAACAGCAAGAATGCTAAACGGCCTGCCTGACATCTTAGAGTTGTTAGGAGTCAGTAAGTCATGTGTGTGTGTGTTTTTCTCTTAGGTTCATTTTCCAGACACTGAAAGAGCAGAATGGCTAAATAAGGTAAGAGTCGAATACACTTAATACCAGAATATCAGTGGGAATTAGAGGATAAGATGCCATTTTTCCATATTTGGGGATTTGGATGTTGACAGTGTGTGAACTCATCTGGACTTAGTGGGTTGGCTTTTGCTCCCAGAAGAACTCAGTCATAACTGATATGTTGCTTTCCTTTTCTAAACAGTGCAAACTGTGTCTTTGACGTGAGAAAATTAATGATGTATTTACAGTTGGATGTTTGGCCCTGTGTCTCCCTTACTGATCAGCCACTGGTCAAATCTCTTTTATGATAATCATAAGCGAAAAATTTGGAAATGTTATTATGAAGGGGGAAATAACACCCAGGAAATCTAGTGATAGATAATAATCTTTTTTGGAGAAGGTTATGTTTTTAGGTCATTATATTTTGGAGTAGATCTGTATTTTATATATCCTTAGATTTATATAGTAAAAACTAATGTGGATAATGATTACCCACAGAAAATCACTGGAAGTTAGTCCATCCTTGAAAACAACTCATTAATGTTTATTAAGAATGATACAGTTTTAAGAGGCTTTTAGCAATGAATTGAAACCACAGGATTTTCTGATTTTTTTAGCAATCATTAAATATGCCTGTATACTTAAAGAGAATATTTAGCTAGAGTAATTGATTCCTGCAGCATATTGGTTAATCAATACTTTACTGTTCACCTGGTGCTCCAGATGTTTTCAGAGGGAGCAGCTCTACCTGTTTTGCTGTTAGTCTAAGAACAGACTGTCTGGTCCCAGCATGGAGCAGTGTGGGTTGTGTCTTTATAGTGTGGCACCATTTTTCATTTGAAGTGAAGTTTCTGGACTTTAGCTCTGCCTAACTTCAAATGTGTGTAGAACACAAATAAAAAGGTAAATGATTGTTTGATTACTTAAAAAAAGCTTATTGTAATACATTTAAAAAATTTAGATACTTTTTTTGTATAATAAAAAAGCCTCCCCCCCCCATTTTCAAAAATTCTGAAAAACTGTAGGAGTGTGATTTTTCATGATGACTTGAGTACTATTCCATTTTGTGTAACATGTGCTCTTTCTTCTTTCCAGACTGTCAAACAGATGTGGCCTTTTATTTGCCAGTTTATGGAGAAGTTGTTTCGAGAAACCATAGAGCCGGCTGTGCGGGGGGCACACCCCCACCTCAGCACCTTCAGCTTCACGAGGGTTGACATGGGGCAGCAGGTTTGTTTCCTCTTGAGTGTTCTTACCTGTGCATACACGTTATTGTCTAGAGGAAACTTCTGGAAGGCTGGCAGTGTGCATGCAGGTCCCCCCAGGCCAGCCTCCTGCAGGACCTCTCCTCCTCCATCTGGGCTCACCTCACTCATCCACTGTGGTCTTTCAGCCACTGCAGTTTCATCGGTGGTCCCCGTGGTCCCCACCAGTGTCTGCCCCACGTTCTTCTGTCAGAGTTACGTTTGTACAGTTTTCTGCCACCTGTTCTGCTGGAAAAGGAGTTTGATGTACAGACATACCAGTGATGCTGTGATGACACATGCTGAAAGCTTTACTCTCCAGACGTTTAGAGGCAACAGCTCAGGGCCCCAGTGCCAGGCTTTCCGGCCCACAACAACGACACAGGTGGAGGGAAAGATAGATCCTGTTATCGGAGTCATCTCACATGCGAGGGAAAGTCACTAATCCTAACTCTACGGAAGCCTTAAGACTGTTTTTATATTTTTAAGTCAGTGTTTACAATTATTAGTAACGGTTGAAGGTAACATTTTTTTCTATTGAGGCATAATTGACACATAATGTTGTATTACTTTCAAGGTAACATTGTTTCTATGCCTAATAAAATTGGGAGTTGAGCAGTACTTTCAAACACACCCACAGCAGAGCCAGGCATGGACTGTGTGTTCAGATGTCTGTGCTCCAGCCTTTCGGGGTTTTAGTGCACGTGTCTGAGGACTGACCCCTGGCCGTGTCACTGCCCCCAGGCTCTTTCCTGTTCGACATCTCGTGGCTGCTGGTCCCCTCCCCCATCGAGGGCCATTTTCTATGTGCAGAGAGGGCTCAGTGTCTTCCACAGTGACTCAGGCTGTCTGATGAAGAAGAGAGGGAGCCCACACAGGGGTCTTTGTCCATCCTCGGTCGGTGCTGTTCCCCCGGGGTTGGCCCCTCCTCCCCCTAATATGAGGTGTCGTCTGGGAGGAAGGGAATCTGTGGTGCAGTCATTTGAACTCGGGGCCCTGAGTGTCTGTGCCGCTTTTCACTTATCCACATGGTGAGCTCACTGTGTCCTGTGATCTGTCATCCTGCACGTCTCTGAGCTGTGTGATCAGGGGAATAGCCCGGAACCTGGGACGGTAGGAAAGGTAGACTTAGAGTTTAGTCCTGCAGCTGGTTGAAGAGTGAGATTTCAGGACACCCATCCTGTCACAGAAGCAGTAGGCAAGATAGGTAAGATATTTCTTCAGCTTGAGTTTTAATGCTCAAATATGATGTTGAGAACTTTCTTAGAAGGGGTCTCAAATTAATGAATACAGAAAAGGTTTGGAAATGGTGTTATAACGGGGCCCTTGAAATATAACATCTATTATAGTCTGCCTTTTCTTTTTATAGAGTTGTTTGATTCTGACTTTATATTGTGTATTAGGTATTGAAAATATAGCGAGTATTTTGATTCACTGAAAAGCCTCATTTAAAAAAAATTGAAGTACAGTTAGTTACAATGTGTCAGTTTCTGGTGTACAGCGCAGTGTCCCAGTCATGCATATACATACATACATTCATTGAAAAGCCCTGCTTTTGTGAAAATCTTAAGAAATGGAAGATTATGACATAAAAAATGAAAGAAACTTATGTTTTAAACTATGTAGTAAGGATGGGGCAGAGGGGGATGGGGCAGAGGGGGAGAGTCGGGGTCATTTGGCAGAGACCAGGGGAGGGGCTTGGGGTCCTGAAGGAGCAAAGCCAGTCACAGCTGGAGCCGCGTCCACCGTCCTGAGCGCTTGCTGCAATGGGCAGTGAGTGCTCCAGGCGCCTCATACTTCCGTGTCTGGTAGCTTCACGTTCCCCGGGAGCAGTCCCCTCATCACATGTTGTACAGATGAGGACACTGAGGGGCCAAGGGTTCGTGGCTTGCTGCTGGAGAAGCAGCTAGGGCATCGTGAACACGGAGTCTCCTCTTCCTTCCTCTCTGCCGTGTCGCAGCACCTGGTTGTCTTCTGCCCTCCTTAGTTTTTAAAGTGAGTTGATTATGTTTCAGCCCCTCAGGATCAACGGTGTTAAAGTGTACACTGAAAACGTGGACAAGAGACAGATCATTTTGGACCTTCAGATTAGGTGAGTGTGTGTTGTGTCAGCTGCGCCCGTGAGGGGGGAGGGTGTGAGAGCGCTCTTCTCACCTGCTGTGGGTGGGGTCTGACCAGCTTCTTGTTGAAGACTCACATTGCTTTACTTCCTGGGTTTCAGTTCCTGATAACCTAGGTGATTGCCACTCATAAAATGTGTGAAATAAAAGAAATTACAGGCATTGTAAGGAAAGAAAATCATAGACTCGTATCCCTTTCGGAACAGTGATGCAAAAATCCTCAACGAAAAGCTAGCAAGCTGAATTCAGCAACGTGTTGAAGGGATTCTACACTATGACCAAGTAGGGTTTATTCCTGGGATGCAAGGATGGGTCAACATATAGAGACTGATCAGTGTAACACCCTACATTCACAGAATATGGAGAAAGCCACATGATCAGCTCAGTTATACAGAAAAAGCACTTGACAAAGTTCAACACTCTTTCCTGGTAAAAACACTCAGTAAACTGAAGAGACAGAAACTATGTCAGCATAGTGAAAGGCCTGTGTTCACAGTGAGCATCCCGCAAGCGGTAGAAGGCTGAGACCTTTGCCTCCGAGATTGGGAACAAGACAGGGGTGCCAGCTTTCGCCACTGCTGTTCAACATGGAGGTTCTTTCAGAGCAAGTAGGTGCGAGGAAAACAAAGTAAGAGGTGTGCACGTTGGAAAGGAAGAAGTAAAATTATCTCTGTGCACAGATGGTATTATATTAAATGTAGAAAACCCAAAGATTCCACCACGAAGTCTTTCAGAACTAGTAAACAAATTCAGCAAAGTAGAAGGATACGAAGTCAACACAAAAAAGAAAAATCAGGTACATTCTGTATACTAACAATGAACAACCCAAAAAGGAAAGTAAGAAGACAATTTCATTTACAGTAATCAGAAAGAATAAAATACTTAGGAGTTAACCGAGGAGGTGAAAGGCTTGTACAATGAAAACCACAAAGCATTGCTGTGAGAAATTAAAGACACAAATACATGGAGACACACAAGAAGACGTAAATCCCATGTTCATGGTTTGGAAGATTTAGTATTGTTAAAAGTCAACACTAAAAGCAAGCTGTAGAATCAGTGCAATCTGTATAATCATAGATCTCATAGGGACTGAGGTCCCGAATGTGTAAGGAACTCCTTCAACTCAACACAACAAAAAAGCAAATAACCTAATTCAAAAATGAGCAAAGGACTTGGATGGACATTTCTCTGAGGAAGATACACAAGTGGACAGAGGCACGTGAGAAGTCACAGTTAATCGGGAGACACACGCCCGAACGACCTCACACCCAGCAGGATCCATCACTCAGAAGACGGCTCAGTGAGGGTCACAGATGTTGGAACCCGTGTGCCCTGGTGGTGAGTGTGTGAAGTAGAAGCACAATAGTGGTTTCTCAAAAAACTTACAGTGTTACCATTTGATCCAGCAACTCCACTTCTGGGTATGTACCCAAAAGAATTAAGAACAAGATCTCAAAGAAATATTTTACACTCGTGTTCACAGCGGCTTTATTCACAGTAGCTAAACCGTGGACACTGCCCAGGTGTCTGTGACTGTTGAGTGGATAAGCAGGAAGTGTCATGTTCGTAGAGCAGAGTGTCATTCAGCCTTTACAGAGAAGGAGGTGCTGGGGTAGCAGCGTCCATCCTGCGGCAGCAGGGGTGACACACTGACTCAGTAGGCCAGGCACAGAAGGACAAGTTGCGTGTGATTCCACTCATACGAGGCCCTTGGAGGAGTCAGATTCGCAGGGACAGAAAGGGGCTGGGGGCGGGGGAGGGGAGCTCGCTGGTCAGCGCTATAGAATTTTTGCAAGATTGCTAGTGTTCTGGCAGTGGTGGTGGGGGTGGTTGCGCGGCAGCCTGTGCTTCACGCCCCTGAGCCGTGCACCTGGAAGTGGTTGAGGTGGCCAATTCTACGTTACGTGTGTTTCACCACAGTAAAAGGTAATTGGGAAAAGTGAATTGGGGCCTCCTGGTGCTGTGCCCACAGTAGGGTTTTCTCGGCTCTTGTCTTTGTCCTTCGTGAACCTGGCTTGTGCTCCCCGCATTCCCTGAGGCCTGTGACATTGCTGTGAGGCAGCGACTGACACACGGCAGCAGGGATATTATTTTATAATGTCATCCTGGAGTTTGGAACGAGCGTTAATGTAGTAAACCTGCAGAGTCAGGACTAGTTACTACAGAAGGGAGGATGGACTGCTCCAAGGACGTAATGTGGAAAACTCGGGAGTCTTTGGTGTACTTGGCACCACTGCAAACGCTGCTGCCACCAGGGGAGTGAAGAGGAAGCCTGGGAAGGACTGTCCACTAGCTGAGCATGCGATTCCGGGGCACAAACCTTGTCCTCTTGTTCCAGCAACAAGGGAGCGTTTCACACGTTTATTAAATACTTGTTGGAATGAACCTGTTGACTGATGCCATTTTGAAGACACCATCTGGCTTTTGTGGTTTTAGCAGACATCATGGCACATGGAAGTGATGCAGCTCAGATGTTCGTGTCTCCAGAAAATCTGTACTCTGCCTTCTTGTGTGTTCCAGACAGGGACCTAAGTTATTGGCAGTAGAGACATGGAAGGAGTGATTGAATGAAGTTAGGAAGCAAAATGATCAAGGCTTAAAGTGCATTGGTGAAAACTTGTCACTGGCTGTGTGCCTCTGCGAGGATTGCGTCGCCGGGAGCTGCAGCCCTGAGCACTAGAACCCTGAGGGGAGGTCTGGGCGGAGACGAGAATGAGGTGTTCTGTGCCCTGGGGAAGACAGCAGACCATGCCTGCAGATAGTTAGAGACTTCCAGGAGAAGACTTTATGAGCCCAGATCCTTGTCTCTTCATATTTGGAAAAGCACTGAAATCATTAACGGGGACACCTGCTCCTCGGGACCAGCAGCACGTGTGCTGCCTAAACGTGTGCTGACCGCACGTCCCTCCAGCTTCCCCAGGACCGGGTGCACTCACCTCCCCCGCATCTTGGAGCAGCCTCAGAGCCACCTGAGACCCTGTCTCCCGTGGCAGAGTCCTCATTTGCCACAAATGAAACTTAACTCACAGCTCTCACATGCATTTTTCTCAGTTGACAAGTGAAAAAGGGGAAAGTTTTGAGATGGTTTTGAAGCAGGCTATTGGTGATGTGCCCACAAGCAGGAGACCCGTGCTCAGTTTGAAGGCCCTGTAGGTACTGACTTTTGCACCAGGACCGCAAAGATGGGGAGAACATGCCCTAGATGCCTTTCGTTAGTACTTTGCTCGTGCGCTTAGACACTCTGTGTCCAGTGATGATCAAACTGACCCTGGGGATTCCCAGCAGGAGCATAATGTTCTGCTTCTGGAGTCGAGGGTGGGAGCCATGCAAAGCATCCTGTTTGTGTTAAAAAGAGGTGCACGCCTTACATGCAGCATCACGTGTGTCCAGGTGTGCTTCGCGCTAAAGAGTGAAATGACTTGTCACTGAGTAAAATTGATGCCCGGACACATGCCATGTCTCTAACCCCTGACGGCACCGGGCACATCCTGAGCCTCGCTGCCGTGGGCCTCACTGCCGTGGGCAGGAGTTGGCTCTGCAGCAGTGAGCACTGTGCCCCGGCAGGAACGTACTCGGACATGGGCGGGGCTGCAGGCGACAGCTTTGCCTGCAGTCTGATGTTGTTGCGTTACTGTCATTGTATTCAAATTATATATCTTGCGGGTCTGTGGTGATTAAGAGAATGTAATACAGAACTTTTTCTCTGCTAGTTTTGTAGGAAATTGTGAGATTGATTTGGAGATCAAGCGGTATTTTTGTAGAGCTGGTGTGCAGAGTATACAGGTAAGGTTTTTTAAGTTTCATGGTCTTCTCAAATTCTCTATGCTCTATTCAAAAAAAAAGTTGTGAAGTTTTTATTAACTCAGAATTTCTTTGAAGTTAAGTTTTTCTTCATAGGTTATACTTGAGAGAAAACTGAAGTCAGATGCTCAGAAATCACTAAGAACATCATGCACCCCCTCCTCGCATCAGTAAGTGGCCTGTGGACTTGTTTTCTGTCACATACTTTGGTCTCTGTTTGAATTCAGATTCATGGTACCATGCGGGTGATCCTGGAGCCGCTGATTGGAGACATGCCCTTGGTGGGAGCTTTGTCGATCTTCTTCCTCAGGAAGCCAGTAAGTCCACCTTTATCTCCTTCTCCAGCTCACTGACAAGCATGTGCACATACGAAGAATATACAGAGTGGTGGAAGAGAGTTTAACTCACTCCATTCCCTTTCTGGAGCATGACTCCTATGTGTTTTCATCTCTTTATGCTTGGTGGAGGGCTTCACATCTCTTGGTAGACAGTTTTTTTCCTGATTATAAAAATAAAGTATTTGCTACAGAAAATTTGAAAAGAGACTTTTAAAAAAACACTGGGTGGGAACTAATATTCAGCACCTATCACTGAGTAGGATGTATAGATATTTACTCATTCAGTCCTCATAGCTCTGTAGTTACCTACTCACACAGTTTCCTTTTGCCGGCCAGGAACTGAGTCTGATTTGTCCAAGTCACAGAACCATGAGTCTGGGCGTCTGCACCTGGCCCAGCCTGGCCGGCAGAGGTGCTGTCCTCAGGCCCCCAGGTCTCCCCACGGCCCCCGAGCTGGCAGTGCGTGAAGCACACAGACACACCCTCAGTTTTTGAAAAGTCACGAAGATTCTTTTTGACTGAATTATATTCTAACACTTTGATAAACTGTGGGAAATAGTATCATTTCACATTGTTAGATATGTGTGGTGGTCCATTTTTGGTTACAAGGAGTCAATACTCATTACTAATTAGGCACAAAAATAAGAGAACAGAAATGTCATTCCCACCTAGACGCTCCCCCCACCGTGGCCTCACTCCTCCCCAGTGACCCTGTCCCTACATGGCTGCTCGCCTGGGCTTCTACAGCCTTCAGTTGGCTTCCTGTCTGGCTCTATCCTCAGAAGACGTCACCACTGGCGTGTCTTCCCAGGTGCTCACTGACCCCCAGGGGCCGGCTCTCGCTTGCAGACAGTCCTCTGG